GGGGTCGGCCGCGTTGGTCCATTGGCACAGCAGCGGCTGTGACCGCGCGTTCTGACCCAGAGCTGCGTTCGGCCCCATCCTTCCGTTCCTGGGTGTCGGGACTCGGCGTCCCCGGCCCCGCAGTGGGGTAATCACCGCCCTCGGAGGATTAATTGCCGTGCGAAACGTCTCAGAAACGAGCAGAGCTGCTCCTCGCAGCGCCTGGGCGTGAATCGCGGTTTCCCTTCGGATTCCTCCGCGCTGACTCTGTGGGGCTGAGTGTTGGGGTTGGGGATTTGGGGTGAGGGGGGTGTTGGGATCTGATGTCTCCTTCTGCAGCGTTTTGGGGTAAACTGTGTCCTCCTGGGGGGCAGCAGGGCCAGCAGAATGGGGCGCAGAGACGTGGGGATGCAGGGTGTGAGTTATTCAACTGTGAGTTATTCAACTGTGAGTTACTCGACTGTTACCCCCCCCCAACGTGGTTGGGGATCTGGGGGGGGGGGGGGCACAGGACTTAACTCTGCTTTGCCCCCCCACCACCACCACCACGCAGCCCCTCTGGGCTAAATCCTTTCCAAAGCGTTGGCCCAGCAGAGCTGCTGCCTCTCTCCCCATTTACAGGCACTGCTGGTTTCTTCACGCTTGCTGGTATTTTTTTTCCTCCTCCCCCCCCCCTTCTTTCTGAACCCTGAACTTGAAAGACAGGAAAAGCGTGTGCTCGGGGCCGCCACGCTGCCTGGCAAGCACCAAACTTGGCAGCGAGGTCAGGGTGCGGCGCTGGGTGCAGTGGGGTCCTGGATACTGTAGGACCCCCCCCCATTGCTCCCCCCTACCCCACAGTGTGTAACCTGGTGACACCTGAGTGACTTGGATTGTCCCCAAAGGGTTGATGTTGTTTGCAGCACCAAACGCCGTGGGAAAGCTGAGGATGGATGAGCCTTTGGGGTTTTGCTCGCTGGGGGTGCATGGAGTGGCCCCACGGGGCAGCACACGGCTCTGAGCATGGAGAGGGGATGGGGATGGGGATGGAGGGAAGGGTGCATGATGTGGCCAAGCTGCTGGGATGCCCCGTTCTCATGGAAAGGGGAAAAAAAAAGAAAAACAACCAACCAAGCAAGATTAGGTTTCAAGCCGGTGCCGTCCCATTAATAAACCAAGTTTGTCTTTGGCAGGCAGCAAGACCTGGTTTTAAAGGAGCAGAGATAGATGACCTATTTTAAGCACTCAAGTTGGAAACTATCGACCCCTCTGCCTGCGGCGGCCGCACCAACCCGCCCGGCTCCCTCTGCAAGCACTGCCCCGTGCTGCTCTCAGCTCCTTTTCCATGGGTGCTGGTCCCCACGAATTCATTAAGTCTCCTTAATTGCAACTCAGGGCAGCACCTCCAGCTGCGGTGCTGGGGTTGGGGGGGGAGGGGGGTTCTGGGTGTCGTTGCTGTGGGGTCCGGAGGGCGGTTTGGTGCCCTGAGCTCCCCATCCCGGTGTGGGTTTGGTTGCTGGATGTGGGGTCGGTGCGTTTGGGGCGGCCACGTCCTCTCAAAGGGCTGAGCAAAGGGAAAATGTGAGCGGCAGAGCGAGCCGGGGGGGGGGGGGGGGGGGTGGAAACCCGACGCGTGAGTCACCAGAAAGTGGCCCAAACCAAAGGCTGGCGGTGACGGCGGGCAGCGATCCGGCATCGCCGGGGGGGAGGGATGGCAAAGCCCGGTGCCGGCGGTGCGTTCCGGCCGCGCTCCCACCCGGGGGGGTCCCGTTGCCCCGGGGTCCCGTTGCCTCGCGGTCCCGCAGCCGCCGGCGGTTCCCATCCATCCCGGCGGATCTCCGCGCTCATCGCCCGTCCTGAGCCCCGAGGGTTGGGAGGGAAGCGCCGCTATGGGGCGCGCCCCGGGGCGCAGGTGTGGGCCGTAGGGCGGCGATAAACAGTGGGGCCGTTGATGGGACCGAGCGCGTGGGGCGGCCCACGAGGGTGGGTGGGAGGGAGCCCGGTGGAGCAGGGGGACAATCGCGCTATTGTGGCACATAGTGGGCTATTGAGCCGCGGCGTGTGGAAAGGGGGAGGCGGGGGGTGGAGAGAGGAGGGGGGGCTGCGGTGCCAGCGCTTTGGGGTGAAGCGTGGTCCCTGCTGGTGCTGACTGGTGTGATGGCAGCGGTGGGCAGCGATGTCCCCGGCGGGGGGTGGGCAGCAGCGGTGCGGGATGAGGCTGTGCGGGAGGTGGTGCTCATGGATGTGTGTGGGGTGATGGAAAACACCACCGGCCCCGGTGCCACAGGTCCCCAAAGCTGCATCCCCACCACTGCCTCCCT